AAGCCTGCTTCTCCCTCTCCCACTCCCCCTGCTTGTGTTCCCTCTCTCGCTGTGTCTCTCTCTGTCAAATAAATAAATAAAATCTTAAAAAAAGACTATTGCTCCTGAGGTTGGATGAATCCAGAATCCACAGGTCCACCCACACTTAATTTTTTTCTGACTGGTTTCAAATATTCAATACTTCCTCCTGCCAAGTTACCTGCAAAATCAGTGAATCAGGGGCCCCACAAAAACAAAGAAGAATGCTCCATTTTGACCAGGGTATTCAGATGCGGCCATCAGAAAGAAGCTATTTGAATTTTAATAGACGCACATTTTCAATCATGTCAAAATACAAAAATTTTTTTGAATAGCCTAGGAGAGCTCACTTCATGTAGATGTGTAGAATCTCTCAGCTTTTAATCCAGATCCAACATATCTGATAAAGTCTAAATTTTTTTTTTTAAGATTGTATTTATTTGACAGAGAGACACAGCGAGAGCAGGAACACAAGCAGGGGGAGTGGGAGAGGGAGAAGCAGGCTTCCCGCGGAGTAGGGAGCCCGACTCAGGGCTGGATCCCAGGACCCTGGGATCATGACCCGAGCTGAAGGCAGACGCTTAATGACTGAGCCACCCAGGTGCCCCAAGTCTAAAATTTTGTTTGAAATCGTATCCTTAGATTGTCATTTCCACTCAGAATGACTAATCATAATAGTCATTGACTAATTTTTGTATATAAAGGAATATGCTAAACCGCAAATTATGTCATTGAACCTGTTTTAAAATTCTGTACCATGACTTTGCTATGCCCATTTTGCGGATGAGGAAACTGAGGCATGGAGAACTCAAGTAACCTGGCAGAGGTCACACAGCTAGTAAGTGGCAGCATCAGGATTCAAGCCAGGCTCTCTGTGGCTCCAAGACCACAGCTGGCCTGCTACGGCCGAGCCACGGTCCCCGTGCCCCGCCTGGCTCTGCCCAGTGACAGAGGCCTCTGTGGGGATGGAGGGCATCTGTGTCGGAACAGATAGCTTGCAGACCTGGTTTTGGAGCAAATCCAAAAGGAAACAATATATGGAAAGGTTCAGGCAAGGCCAATTCCTGCAAGACAAAATGAGTCTTCGGATCTTCAGCAAAGTCAAAGCAACGTCTTTCCCAGAGATAACAAATCCCTAGCCTGTGTCTCAGCCCTCTCCCCTCTCACACGCATGACAAGACTTTATAATCACTCACAGCTTTCACTCACCCCAGGCCCAGGCCCTGCCTCAGAATCCTTTTCCACAGGCTTTAGGCAACCACGAGCATCTTTCTCACCATCACGGGACCTGATAATTCAGCCGCCTCTCCCCCAAAATCTGATCCACACTCCTCCTCTGTTTTCTTTATAACCAGAGTCACTTCCAGCTGAGCTGAATAAAGGATGAAATGATTCTCATCTTAATTATAAATTTCTGGAAAAGTGGTGTTTTCGGTTGGAAAGCCGAATCTCCACTGTGGACCCACAGACAGGATGAAGGAAGAGCGTGGGCTGTGGTGTTCTCCACCAGAAGTTGCAGCCTCCCCGAGGCCTGGCAGCCAGCCAACAAGAGAAGGGTTCCTTCCTCCCGTGCTCGGAGTAAAATCTCATCTTCCTGAGGTTGTCGATGTGAAATCTAAGCTTTTTGCTATGCAGAAAACTCAAGTCCAGTCATCCTAAGTTGGCTTATGTCTGTGTAATATAGAATACGTATTAACGTATATGAGCAAAAGCTAATACCTAGAAAGCTTTTACTATATGCCAAACACTAAAGGCTTCACATCTATCAGTCTGTTTCATCCTCAGAACCACACTAGAAGACAGGTATTACTGTTATTCCCATTTGATAGGTAAGGAGACTGAGGCACAAGGAAGTTCAGCTCTAAGTCAAGACAGTAGATACTGAGGGATGCAGCTGGTCTTTGAAGACAGGCGATCTGACTCTGGTCTGTGCTTATGGACTGCAAAGCTACCATGTAAATGCCACCACAAGTAAACCACTTTGACGAACGTATACAATAAAACCACTTTGACAAACATCACAAACAGTGATGTATACTAAATGTCTTCCCAACACATGGTGGAGTCCTTAAGATGGGCACGTGGCAGAACGGCTGAGGGGACCCCGAGGATGCTGTGTGGCACTCGCTTACTCACCATGTGCCCCATGCACGCCCTAGCTCCTGGATTGAACAAAAGGAGAAACGTAGCCTTTCTGGATTGTTCCTTAGTTGTCTTGGGTGACTCAGGGGGACTCCCAGTGTCAGCAGCACCAACAGGAAACATCTTCTCGTTAAGGGTTTGGACTCAGGCTGCTTCCTAACTTTAAGCTGATTTATAGCATGTATATGACTTTAAAAGATCTCGGGTTTTCCTAACAGATATAACTGCAAGGATTTATGGACATTTACTACATTACCCATGCCTCTGGGAAGGAGATAAAAATTGGGAAGCTGTGTGAGGAGTGCAGTACTGACATATCCGATTCTTTCTAAATAACGTGACTGCAATGGCTCTTCAGTTACTTTTGCTTTGAAACGATCTGCCTAGAAATGGTGGAGAATTGCACGATCGGCCCTCTTCCTCTCTCCGCACATCCACGCCCTTTGCCAAAAACCTTGGCAGTGCCTTCCACCAAATGGACAAAGTGTATTTATGTCCTTGACCCTGGAACTTGGACTCAACTGTGACCTGCTTGGACCATCAGAGTGGGGGAGTCGGCCAGATGCAAGCCTCCTGGGTGGTTTTTCTTTCCAACTCCACCTCTGCCATGAGAATCTCAGGTGCGGGCTAGCCTGATGGGGCCGGGGGGCGCTAATATGGAGGAAGTACCCGAGTCCCAGCCCTTGTGGTTAGGAGGCAAGAGGTCTGCAAGAGGTCACCTGACCAGCTGGAAGGAGGGTACGTCTCCCTGGCGCTGCACTTTGCATTGAGCCCCGCACTCACCTTGGTCCCTGGATTCCGCCTGCGCCAATTCCTCCAGGGACTGCTCCAGCAGATCTGCCAGCCGGTGCAGCACCTGCGAGCGCTCCTGCGGGCTCCGGGCCGCCCAGCCGGGGAAGGCTGCTCTGGCCGCCTCCACCGCGGCGTCAATCTTTGAGGACCAAGAGGAAGAGGGTCACCTTAAGACTATTGCTCCTGGGGCGCCTGGGTGGCTCAGTCATTGAGCGTCTGCTTTCAGCTCAGGTCATGATCCCAGCATCCTGGGATCAAGCCCCGCATCGGGCTCCCTGCTCAGCGGGAAGCCTGCTTCTCCCTCTCCCACTCCCCCTGCTTGTGTTCCCTCTCTCGCTGTGTCTCTCTCTGTCAAATAAATAAATAAAATCTTAAAAAAAGACTATTGCTCCTGAGGTTGGATGAATCCAGAATCCACAGGTCCACCCACACTTAATTTTTTTCTGACTGGTTTCAAATATTCAATACTTCCTCCTGCCAAGTTACCTGCAAAATCAGTGAATCAGGGGCCCCACAAAAACAAAGAAGAATGCTCCATTTTGACCAGGGTATTCAGATGCGGCCATCAGAAAGAAGCTATTTGAATTTTAATAGACGCACATTTTCAATCATGTCAAAATACAAAAATTTTTTTGAATAGCCTAGGAGAGCTCACTTCATGTAGATGTGTAGAATCTCTCAGCTTTTAATCCAGATCCAACATATCTGATAAAGTCTAAATTTTTTTTTTTAAGATTGTATTTATTTGACAGAGAGACACAGCGAGAGCAGGAACACAAGCAGGGGGAGTGGGAGAGGGAGAAGCAGGCTTCCCGCGGAGTAGGGAGCCCGACTCAGGCCTGGATCCCAGGACCCTGGGATCATGACCCGAGCTGAAGGCAGACGCTTAATGACTGAGCCACCCAGGTGCCCCAAGTCTAAAATTTTGTTTGAAATCGTATCCTTAGATTGTCATTTCCACTCAGAATGACTAATCATAATAGTCATTGACTAATTTTTGTATATAAAGGAATATGCTAAACCGCAAATTATGTCATTGAACCTGTTTTAAAATTCTGTACCATGACTTTGCTATGCCCATTTTGCGGATGAGGAAACTGAGGCATGGAGAACTCAAGTAACCTGGCAGAGGTCACACAGCTAGTAAGTGGCAGCATCAGGATTCAAGCCAGGCTCTCTGTGGCTCCAAGACCACAGCTGGCCTGCTACGGCCGAGCCACGGTCCCCGTGCCCCGCCTGGCTCTGCCCAGTGACAGAGGCCTCTGTGGGGATGGAGGGCATCTGTGTCGGAACAGATAGCTTGCAGACCTGGTTTTGGAGCAAATCCAAAAGGAAACAATATATGGAAAGGTTCAGGCAAGGCCAATTCCTGCAAGACAAAATGAGTCTTCGGATCTTCAGCAAAGTCAAAGCAACGTCTTTCCCAGAGATAACAAATCCCTAGCCTGTGTCTCAGCCCTCTCCCCTCTCACACGCATGACAAGACTTTATAATCACTCACAGCTTTCACTCACCCCAGGCCCAGGCCCTGCCTCAGAATCCTTTTCCACAGGCTTTAGGCAACCACGAGCATCTTTCTCACCATCACGGGACCTGATAATTCAGCCGCCTCTCCCCCAAAATCTGATCCACACTCCTCCTCTGTTTTCTTTATAACCAGAGTCACTTCCAGCTGAGCTGAATAAAGGATGAAATGATTCTCATCTTAATTATAAATTTCTGGAAAAGTGGTGTTTTCGGTTGGAAAGCCGAATCTCCACTGTGGACCCACAGACAGGATGAAGGAAGAGCGTGGGCTGTGGTGTTCTCCACCAGAAGTTGCAGCCTCCCCGAGGCCTGGCGGCCAGCCAACAAGAGAAGGGTTCCTTCCTCCCGTGCTCGGAGTAAAATCTCATCTTCCTGAGGTTGTCGATGTGAAATCTAAGCTTTTTGCTATGCAGAAAACTCAAGTCCAGTCATCCTAAGTTGGCTTATGTCTGTGTAATATAGAATACGTATTAACGTATATGAGCAAAAGCTAATACCTAGAAAGCTTTTACTATATGCCAAACACTAAAGGCTTCACATCTATCAGTCTGTTTCATCCTCAGAACCACACTAGAAGACAGGTATTACTGTTATTCCCATTTGATAGGTAAGGAGACTGAGGCACAAGGAAGTTCAGCTCTAAGTCAAGACAGTAGATACTGAGGGATGCAGCTGGTCTTTGAAGACAGGCGATCTGACTCTGGTCTGTGCTTATGGACTGCAAAGCTACCATGTAAATGCCACCACAAGTGTGTGTGTGTGTGTGTGTGTGTGTGGCCACTGATCTAGGCTTCAGAGATGAGAATGTTAGCTCACTGTCTGTGGAATAAGGATGATGGGAGAGTCTTATTTGTAGGTTGTTATGACTCACATTGGGGGTAATTTGTGTTAGACGGCTTAGTGAACGCAGAGCACAGAGCAAAACCTGTTAGCAGCACCAGCAACACTTTCTGTAAGAGACTTTCTGCAAAATTGGGCATGCAGCTTGTATGTTGATGGTATTTTTCAAGCCAGCAAAAACTGGGACTTGCGGGATCAGAGAGCATATTTGCAATTTAAATTGCTGGGAAATCCAAAATATTTATTTCTCTACTAGCAGATGTAGCCATACCAAATTCTATCTTCTGAAAAGGCATGAGCCATTAGCCACAGAACTAAATTTGTCCTATTTGTCATTTTTTACTGCACTTTGGGAAAACACTTCGAGACCAGGAGGATTGGATAACACAAAGCTGGATTTCCCACATCTGTCCCAGGTCATTTGAAACAAACAAAATTGTGGGTTACAGTTTAACCAACAGATTAGCCAATATTTGCAAATTTTTGTGCACAAGTCTAAAGGTTTTTTTAATGCAAGACAGGTTTAAAATATAGTTAACAAAAGAGAAATAATAGCTTAGTATATATGAAGGCTTATTTACGTATACTTATTTGTATATGAAGGCTACAGTTATCTTTTAAATAATCTAGTTCTTTGTGCCTTAAAAAATAAAATCCATTAGGCTTTAGATGAGCATATATACATCAGCCACATTCATCACCAGACACATTTACATTGTCAATGCAATAAACTGATAACTAATTAAATATATCTCCAACATCTTATAGAACTTCTCAAATAAAATTCTAATGTTTGTGCCATTAAGCACTTTGAGTAAGAAAAAGGATGGTCTTAAATTTCACTGCAAAAATATATGGGAATTTGATTTTGCATTTCATCATTCAAGTGATCTGTTTTACTTCACTAGATATTTTAAAGACATAAGGCATTTTTAGAGGATAATATAAAATAAATCCCTGGGTTTTTCACTTCTGCTCGTTTCAGTGGAGTAACAAGTTGTTTGTTTTGTTTTTTTTTTTAGAAATCCATGAATATACTGGCAAAGTTAGGCAGCACTTGGTAAAGAAAAAGAAACAGAAACACTGATCATTCTTAACAAATAATACTTTTTACTAGACCCCTAATAAGGAATGGCTGAGAAATGCAGCTGTGTGTTAAGTTGCCTGATTAATTGCTTGCTTCTGCACAAAGTCATGGGCTTTGTTCCAGGCATAGGTATCCCCTTTTGAAAGTTCACAGGAGGTCACTTCGCTTTTCTATTAGCACCTGTTTTCGCTAACCGCAAGAAATACGAAGAGGATTTTCACTTCTGTGAAAAAAAGCCATTTCCAGACTTAGTATTTCTTTCCCAAATGCAAAGTGGCATAATGTGAACTTTCTGAAAATGGGGGATACTCTTCACTTTATGCCATTTCAAAAGATGTCCTAAGAACACTCTCCTTTTGGATAGCGAGGGAATCCTGCATCCTAAAAGTCCCATTACAAAGCAAACCTTCCCAGAACTCAAATCTTCCTCCTGCCAGCGTTTAACAATTCTACACCTTTTCCCCAACTCCCTTTGCTCCTAGAAAAGTAAGTGACATGAAATCCATCAACACAGGAAGTACATTTCCATCTTCCCTAGGTGAATATACTCACCTCTTCTCTCTTTTTTTTTTTTTTAAGATTTATTTATTTATTTGAGAGAAAGAAAGGGAGGGGGAGGCGCCGAGGGGAAGGGAGAAAGAGCCTTTGAGCAGACTCCGCACCGAGCACAAGCCCAGTGCGGGGCTCAATTCCATGCCCCTGAGATCAGCAGGACCTGAGCGAAACCAAGGGATGCTCAATGCATTGCCCCAGCCAGGTGCACCACTCACCTCTTCTTTTCCACTGTTTGGCACTCTGCAGTATACATCCCCCGTAGACGGATCATAAGAATCGATATAGGAGTTACAAGGTACAAACATTCCATTAATGAAGTTTTCCAGTGTCAAAAGTGCCTTTGTTCCAGCCATGGTGGAGACAACTTCTGCCTTTCTCCCTTCGGTTCCCCCGCACAGTTCCCTACCCTGAGTGAGCCCCGTCCTCACCTCCAGCCCCAAAGTCCTCATTTGCCAATCAGTGGAAGTGGGAGGTGGCCTGACACTCAGGACTATGTTCCAGTCTCCAAACTCTGAGCAAAGAGTATTCGGGAGTATTTCACAGACTTCCAGTACATTATGAGAAAGGGATAATAATATGGTAAGCTAACATCAGCTTGTGTCCATGGCCCTTTGAAATGTCAGAAGGCACCTGTGTCTCCTTTTATTGGGTTCACACTATAAACTGTTTACTGCTCAAACATGGAGGGCCAGACCCTGAAGCAAGTCCTTGACATGAATTTGCTCATTTATTCCACACAACAATCCTATATAAAGTGAATGTCATTAAATCTCCTGTACAGTACAAGGAACTGAGCCTCAAGAAGTTAATTTGTCCAAAATCGCAGTTAGTAAGGAATGAACTTTAATCCGTTTATCTCCAAATCATGTGATTTCCCTCAACACATCACAGCCCTCACCCCACAGAGGTGATTGAAGACAGACTCCCTCTTTCCATCTCTCGTCTGTTTCTCTTGACCGTGGCTGCCTTCTCCATGAACAGTCCCTCCATCCCGAAACCAGCAGCTCACATTCTCCCAGCTGTGCCACTCCAGTAAGGACACAAGCCAGTCTATGCATGGATATAGGAAACACACGGGGATGCATAGCCACGATGCATGTGAGAATTTCTATAAACTGGTAAGGGAAATGGACAATCCAATTGAAAAAAAATAAGCAAAGGCTATAAAAAAAGCAATTCATAGCAAAAGAGATGCAATTGGCTAATGAAGGCATGAGAGGTACTCCGCCTCATTGTTAATCAAGGGAACGTGAAATACAAAGAGGTGCCCTGATTCCCCAAAGTAGAAAACATTTTAAAAGATCTCTACTCTCTGCTCTGTGTGCAGATGTGGAAAAGCAGGTGCTCTCCTACTCCGCTGACGGGAGGCTTCACAGAACCCGGCTTAGGGCAGTCTGGCCGTGTCAGCATTTTAAATGTGCCCACGTTGAGGCTAGTAATTCTTCTTCTCAGAATCTCTCCCACTGAATTTCTTGCTCCAGTGCAAGTAGGTAAGTCACAAGGCATCGCTTTTTATGGTAATTTCAAAATCGGAAACAAGAGAAATGCATACCAACTGACAATTATTATAATGAGTCGTGATACCCAGATAAGGAATGTTATTTAGCCATTGGAAGATGTACTGTTAAGTGAAAAAAGAAAGTTAGTGGATAATATACACAACAGGATCTCCTTGGACGCCTGCTTGAGGGGGATGAAAGTGGGGAAATGAGGGTTTCTTCCTTTTTTTACTCCATGTGGTTTTAAATTTCTTGAATACGATATGGTGACCCTATATCAATATGTAACTTTTGTAGTTAAAATTTAGTCAAATGTGAGATATCGATATTCTAAATTCATTGGTCATTTGGGACATTTGCTGGTTGTGCACGTCCTCAGGCCCTCCCCACTCCCGCCTTCATTGGTATCTAAGAATCTCCAAAATTCTTGCAGATCGCCGATGCAAAGCAAGAGACTCTCTGTTCCCTGAGCAATGAAGCTTCAGGCCTCTCTGCAAATCTAAAACTGACCTATGATGGCCTGCTGAACAAAGGACCAACCCCCCTGGTCTTTTCTCCTTTGCAACTCAAAGCCTCTGCAGAAACTTTGGCATTAGAACTCATTTTATTTAACAGGGCCAAATTCTTGAGGCTCCTTCTCCCTACCCAGTAAGAAGCAGGGAAGAAGTTTAAAGACGAAAATTTTTTTTTCTCAGCCTAAAATTCTTAACCTTTCCTTTTCCAGGTGACTTTTCTTTTTCCTTTCCCTCGTGTTAGTGATTTGGGGTCATTTGGATGTGCCTCTGTTAAATACCTGGTTACACATAAATAAAAAGATACATACATGGACAAATACAACACTGCACACAGCCAAGGGTCTGTTCCAGAACACAGAAACTATGTGGGTGTTTCAAAGTCTCATACAAGGAAATGGTTACATTGGGTTAGAAGGCTGAGAGAGGGGCGGGTCCAGCTGAGGGACCCAGGCAACAGTAACACCTAGTACCAGGGAAGAGAGGCCGCCATGTCTGAGACGGGGCGGGCGCACAGAGGAGCGGTGGGTAACAGCAGCTCTGGCGGGCCTGTGGGGATGCTGTTACTGGCAGGGCGGGGAAGGGGTGGGGGGCTGCTGCAGGAGCTATCCGCTGTGGCTGCAGAGACGCTGACAGGGACTGGAGACAGAAGGTAGCATCTCCACCCCCCACCCCAGGCTCTTCCTAGTGCCTCCCATTGGCAGAAAGCCCGCTGACAAGAGATGTGAGCAATACGGTTTGCAGACCCCAGCCCTGGCCGCACAGAACAAAGTAGCGGGCAGCCTAGAGCAGAGAGACCTCGGGGAAATACCCAGCCCAGACAGACAGACTTTCCCCAGCTTGTGTCCCTGGTTCTCTCACTCTCAGCTTCTAGTGTCTTCTTTGCTCCTTCTGAATCTCCCAGAAGCCCACTCTTATCCCAAGCACCCATGCTCAGAGATAAGCATCACCCTCTCTTTCCCTCACCCACTTCACTGAAATTTCTCTCACCCAAGCTATTGAGAAAGAAAATCTGATTATGTGACAGAAGCAACTGAGACCAATGCGGGTTGATTAATCAGATTTCTTTGTCTTTTTGTATAGTTCATAATAATCCAAAAGATTCCAAGCAGAGGAGTCCCTAAGGGAGAGTTTTTTAAAGAAAGGGACTTTCTAAGGACACCATGGCGGTGGAGTTCTCTGCCACATAATAGCAGAATAGTGTGAGAAACTGGACCCAGTACTTTTTTTTTTTAAAGGTTTTATTTATTTGAAAGAGAGAAAGACAGCTAGAGAACACAAGCAGGGGGAGTGGGAGAGGGAGAAGCAGGCTTCCCGCTGAGCAGGGAGCCCGATGCGGGGCTCAATCCCAGGACCCTGGGATCATGACTTGAGCCCAAGGCAGACGCTTAACGACTGAGCCACCCAGGCGCCCCTGGACCTAGTACTTCTAAAAAGTGCTTCATGCTTCTCAAAACTTCCCCACACAGGAATAGGCCCAGCCTCTGAGCTGACATGGGTATTAGTCATAGTTGCATCTTTGTGCCACTTGCCGTTCAAGCTTGACCTGGTCCATTTTGGCGTAATTCAATGGCCCTTCACCTTCCTTCTCCCTCTGTCCTCCCAGGCCTTTTCTGTCCATATTGCAACCACTGACCCCCGCATGCAGGCCAACCACAGATCTGACTCTGGAACCAGAACTCAGTTGAAGTGGGAGACACTTCCTGAGGACATAGCATCCAGCCTCACTTTGACCTGAGCCCTAACCTGCCTTCACGCCCTTCCCTCAAAACGTGGGACCAGTCATCTCTTGCCTTGTTTCCCTTAAGGAGACATAAAATCCTATATCCAGGCCTCAGAATAGAGACCCTACTCCCTTGTGGTTCCACCTGCCTCACTGTACCTTTGGATGAATTCTCTGGACTGGTTCACCTGCTCTCCAGGGCGTGTTCCGCCGAGCGCTGATCTATTCTTGTCATGCCCCTGGAGTAGCATTCAAGTGTGTTTCCATTAGCAGCAACCACATCTGCCCCCACCACACATACACCCCAGTGGATGGATTAGTGCCAGTCCTGCACAGTGAGAATAGAGGACTCAAGACTGTAAGCTCAACTGACAAAAATTATAAACATGATAAACGGAGCATACTCATATTCTGAAGAACTAATAGTTCTGGAATATTTCGGAAGAGGATAGGGTGTTTTCACCTCATTGACAAAAATTACTCCTTTTGGAAGGGGTAGGCATTCGCTGATTTAGAGAGCTCTCACGTGTTTTTGGAGCTCTGAACTACCCAGGGCGGCTGCAGTACCGGGAAGCACAGGGTGTTTGTCACGTGAGCACCTGCCATATGCCAGAAGCCACAGCCAAACATAGAGGCACTTGATGCCAGGAGAAGTCACCTTCAACTCAGGGAGACAGCGCGCTAAACAAGCCACAGTGTAGTAGCCTGTGGGCACCCCAGGGGTGTGCACTATGCTCAGCAGAAACTCCAGAGAGGGAATGGAGAGCTCCGCCCGAGTTCACTGAAGGAATCAGAGGATGGAACTTGGGAGATGGATAAGGAAGGATGAGAAGGAAGTTACCAGGCAGACAAGAAGTGGGTAATTCCAGGCAGAGAGAATACCTATTCAGGACCCCACCTCCCTTCTGTCTCCACAAGAACCTTGACCAGCAGACTATCTCCTATCTGACCCTTTGTCCTCCACTCTCCTGGTTCTGCAGCCTTTCAATGAGCCAGTCTGTCCACTATAATATCGGATCATGTGACCAGTGTGGAGGAAAGCAGAAGCCTGGCAGTGAAGGCGTGTACCTTCTCCAACAGGAGAACATTGCTCCGACAATCACAAAATTAAACCCAGTTAATGGGGTGCCGAATTGATATTAGAAAGGCCACAAGCTATTTTGCGTCCCCATATATAGGTATGATTTAAATGACCTATTTATGTTGTTTTACACTATTATTTCTATCTATTTAAGTGATTTCTGTGTGCGAAAAAGTTGCTTCTGAGAGCTAGAAGCTGGCCTGGCCCTCATAGGCAGGCCACGGTGTTCTTCTATCAAACATTAACAATTCCTAAGTCTCTGACATCAGACCAGGTCGCACTCTGTGATCCCGATGAAGTGGGATCCTATAATCACACCTGAATGAAAACCCAAGTACTGTGTAAACCTTAAAAATGATGAAACTACCCCCTCTTGTGGCTAACTTGGGTGACTGCCACCACTCTGCCTTGTTCCATTGCCCCCTACCTCTTAGATAAACGTGGGTCCCCCAGCTGCAGAATTACTCCCTTTCTGACAGCACCCAATCCGGAAGAAACCCTTGCTCACTTGAGCCCTCCTCAAAATTACCTCCCCCTCCACATGCCAAATCCTTTAACAAGCTCTCCTTATACCTTCTTACTGAGCACCGAGTCCTCTATGGCGTGTGGTCTCTCTTGCTGCAGCAAGCATCAATAGAAATATGTGCCCTGGTGGTCTTTGATGACAT